AATTGTATCCAGTATTCCAGTGTGGGTATTGTGGAAGCCACCCATGTGTATAGGCTAGTGGGGAAACCTGTAATAATCAATAATGACACTGCAACATGCAGTTGCATATTGCACACAGTGCACTTGGCATGGGGACACGGGCTCCCCACAGCATTACTTCTGTCATATCATTTATGCTCAAGAACCTTCCTCAGTTCTCTATTGTCTGATAGCTTCTATGGTAATCTGGCCCCACCTACCCTAACTTCACCTTCTCCCTACTTTCTCAGTTCCCCTAAACACTTCAAACATAGATTCAGTTCTCCAGCTACGAAACATCTCTCTTTCTCTTCTGATACCCTGATGGCTCCCTATTACAACACATCCCTCAAGGATGATTGATCAAGATATATTGAATTCACAAACTACTTTGTTAAGTGGCAACTCCTTTGTACAGCTGCTTAAAATAATAGTGAAAAATACAAACAACAAATAGCATGAAATCTTTGGAGTCCATGGAAGATATTCTGGATGTTTTGCTGATTATTTTTTTTATAATGGGGTTTGAACTCAGGACCTTGGGCTTATTAGGCAGGTGCTCTACCACTTAAGCCATGCCCAGTTCTTCTCATCATAGCTTTTTATTTTTTACCTAAATCAAGTTAAATTGTTAAGTCATCCCATTTCTCATACCATTGCTTATTTTCCACAATTCCAGGTCTTTGATGAAAATATGTCAAGATCAAGACAGATCCTTTCCTGGACACAGGGATATGTATGCACAAGACATATATAATTCTTGAATGAATGAGTGAGTGAGAGAAAAGGTAAACTTTGGGCTGTAGATTAAAACTGGGCTTTGAGGTGAGTGTGATATGAATGAACCTGCAGTGTTCAATAGCACAAAGATGGGGTCCTCTGAGCACACCTGGTTTTCCGCAAGATGCTGCAAGACCCACACATATGCAGATGTTGTTACATAATGTTGGCCATAAGCCCACAGCTATGGAGATGACCTCATTGGCCGGTATTCCCAGAACAGCCATCCTGCACCTCCAGGCAGCGTCAAATGGACTCTTCTTGCCTTTGGTAGTGGCAGCAGCTCCTCGGGGAGCAATCTCTCTGTAGAAGTGTGCAAGGTCAGGCTGACTTGAGATCATTTTAAAAGATACTCAGTCAGACTTTAAAGAAGAAGTTGCTTTTTTTCTTCCCTGTTGTCATGGCATCATTCCAGACTTCTTTGGTTACTTGTTTTTGCACAGCACTCATAAACTCAATGAGGTAAATACACACTGCATTACCAGGGAATGTAGAGATGATATTTTTCAGTGTCTAGTTAACCCTGGCTGCTCCGCTCTATCAGGGAAGCCCTGGAGCTGGTTCTTTGGCCATTACTCTCACCACTGCTCTCCATTTTATTTTTCCTTGTGCTGTCAGCTTCTACTTACCTAGCTCAGAGCTGGGTGATCTGGGTCCTGGGTGATCTACCTGGTCCCACCCTCTCATTCCACCCTCCTTCCTACCATGTCCATCAGCTCACAGATGTTCTGGGATCAATGGGCAAACAGCTAATGTTTTTGCTGCTTTATTGCATCTCCCACAGCCGCCTTGCTGCAGCACATTACTTTGACTTTCTTGATGAGTGAAAATATAACACACAGGCCTCCATTGCCACACCCTCACCTTCCAGGCACACAATTTTGATCAAATGTAACATGAAGGGACCTGCAGAATATAGTGACTAAAGGATGGAGTTCACTCCAACACATCGGGGCCTGGTTTTCTGAGAGATGCTGAAGCATCAGACATGCGCAGATATTATGTAGTACTTGGCCACAAGCCCATTCCTAGCTTAGGAGCACTCAACTGCGTATGATGGCCCAAGGCATTCAGGATGTGAGTTGCTTGTCTGGCACCACAATTGAATTAAAGCACCCCTGACCAGAAGCTCTGTGTGTTTGCGTAAAGAAACATCCAAGACCTTGGGAAGTGGTGGCCAGTTGGCACTTTGTGACATTATCCCTCTGTGCTTTGAGGTCTTTTTCTTAACTGGCAAGCCAAGACAAGTAGGATCCATTCAAAGTTCCTTTGTGGAGCTTCCATAAGGCTCCATGGTCTTTACTTAGAAAGAGTCAACTGTCTTCTTTCCATCTGGGAGTCTGAAGACTACCAGACATCCTCTGGGAACAAATTTTTGCTTGACTTGTCTCATTGCCTTTAGTTTGAGATTCACCAGAAAATAGTAGTCTTATAAATATGGGGCCCAGGAACCCTCTCGTGGTGCATGTAAATTGTGTGTGTATGTGTGTGCGTGTATGTGTGTGTGTGCATGTGCATGCATGTCTATGCATAGCTTATCCAGATTCTCAGAAAGGGTATGGGTCCTCTCTCAAAGTTTCCAATCCACTGCACCAGAGTGATCACTTTCAGCAGAAATTTATATCCATGTTGCTCTTGTGTGCACACTTTATGCCTGGATTTCTCTGCTCTAGGTGTAGCTTTGAGGGCACTTCCTTATGAGGCAGTTTCTGTAGTGTGAGTTAGGGAGGAATGTGACAGGGATGAGATTGAAGAACTGACTGATATATGACTTGTCAGTTGGTCTTGCAGGCAGAGCTGATTAGCCCTTGCAGGTGTGTGAAATGAACTGAGGGGTCCATCTGCTCTTCTTAGCCACAGTCACAAGAATAATTACAAAACCACTCAAGTTGTGGGAGCTGGTGGCGCATGCCTGTAATCCTAGCTACTCAGGAGGCTGAGATATGAGGGCAGAAAAGTCTGTGATACTCTTTTTTTTTTTTTGCCAGTCCTGGGGCTTGAACTCAGGGCACTGTCTCTGAGCTTCATTTGCTCAAAGTTAGCACCCTACCACTTGAGCCACAGCACCACTTTTGGCTTTTTCTGTGTATGTGGTACTGAGAAATTGAACCCAGGGCTCATGCATACTAGGCAAGCACTCTACCACTAGGCCACATTCCCAGCCCCTGTGAGACTCTTATATCCAATTAACCAACCCCAAACCAGAAGTGGTGCTGTGGCTCAAAGTGGTAGAGTGTAGCCTTGAGCAAAAAAAGCTCAGGGACAGCACCCAGGCCCTGAGTTCAAGCCCCAGGACCAAACAAACAGACAGACAAAAACCACCCCACTGATGTATATGTATCTTCCTTTCTAAGGTTTTTATATATGTTTTCTTCTTTGTTACAGTGAAGTAGATATTCATGTCTCCATTTTTTACACAAAAGGAAACCTCATGGTAAAACAATTAATTTTCTCAAAATACTACATCCAAAAAGCAGTAGAATGGAGATTAAACTTCATTCCAAGTTTGTGAGGGTTTGTTGTTCGTTTTTGAAGTACTGGGGATGAATTTGGCCTCAACCTTGCTAGACAAGTGCTCTGCCACTTGAACCATACCCTTAGTGCTTTGGCTTTTAATTTGTTTTTCACAGTGCCTTATACTAACTCTCCTCAAGTTGGCCTTTGACCATGATTTCTGCTTCCTGAATAAATTGGTCTGGAGGCATGTACCACCATGCGCAAAGCCTAAGTTTGTGTTCATACTTAGGTGCAGCACCCATCATGTGGCTACTGACAGTTGTCTGCAAAGGCAGCCGCCCTCACTGTGAAACACAGCAACTGAACTACTATAGGCTGTCACAGTTCTCCTTCTTCTCCCTGTCCCTGCAGGGGTGGGGAGGGTCTTCCGGGCTCTGCTCTAAGAATATTGTTGGTATCTCTCTGTTCAGCTTTTGCTTGTCTACCTTCACTTGTGTGTGCTACTCGTGGATGGCTGAGCTGTCTCTGGACAGCGTAACTCGGAAGTTCCCCCAAATGCCTGAACTCACCACCACCCTCTCATACTGCTTCCTCCCTATGCTACTCACTCCTTTAGCCTTGACCTCCTAGAGGGCCCCCGAATTTATCCCATACCAGGCTAGAATCTTGGAGATTTTCCTCGCTCTTTCTCTTCATTATTCAGGATGTTACAAATCCCAGTAGCCTTACCTCAAAATACTTTAGAACCCATTCTCTCTTTCCTGAACACTCTTGCCTGAGATGAGTTTCTTGCTTCTGCCTGGACTTAAAAACCTTCTTCTGGAATTTGTCTCCTCTGCTCTATCCTTCACGCTGGTCCAACCACCACCTTTCCTCCTTAGCATCTCTCCAGCTCTGAGTACTGGTGGCTCATGCCTGTAATCCTAGCTACTCAGGAGGCTAAGATCTGAGGATTGGTGTGGGAGCTTTCTGTGTACCAGGATCCATGTTGAAAATGGGCACATACTGCTTGTCCAGTGGGGCTATTTAATAACTTGCAAAGATGATGTATCTCTTGTGTCAGAGCTGGATTAGGAACCCAGCTACCCAGCCTTCAGTCTCTATCACAGTGTTGTACTCCCTGGCATATGCCAGCTCCTGCTCACCATTGCAGACTCTCACTTCAGCAGCCTTTGCTGGGGCTTCAGTCTGGTAGCTGTAGTATACTTGCATTTTCTGCACACACTGGAGTTCTTCCACCTCTTTCTTCTGTCTAGAAACACCAAATATACCCCTACCTTATAGCCCTGTTCTTTAAGGCTCAGCTACAGGATAGCTGTCACCTATAGGAAACAGGTATCTCTCAGGTAAGCCTCAGGTTCTTTGGGCTCAGAGGCCTGCTGCTCTTCTGAACTCCAGTTAGACCCTATGTTGTATACTGCTCTGATTTCTACTCATCAGATGTCCTTGTAAGCCCTCTGGGCTCAGAGGCCATATCTGTCCTTGTTCCCCCCAAATCTAGTACCATGCTTGATCCAGAAGATACAGCCTAACCACAAAGGCCATTTTTTTTGCCTGCTTTTTTATGATTGCTTTTATCTGTTTCTTTCTGCCCTGCCTCATACTGTAAACATTCCAGGTACCACGAAATCTCTTCTGCAGGCTTCCTGCAGTAGCCTCTCTGCTGCAGGGCAGGTGCACCCCTTAAAATATTGCATGGAAAGAATAACGGGAAGTTTTTTTTTTCTCCTTTACTTCATGTACAGATGCAAGCCTAGAATTGCAGGGCGGCAGTGTGACCAGTGTGCTTCTGGGTTCTACCATTTCCCTGAATGTCTTTCCTGTAATTGCAACAGACATGGGACTGAGCCTGGAGTGTGTGACCCAGTGACCGGGGCTTGTCTCTGTAAGGTAAGACAACTCATGCAAGACAACTCTCCAGGCAGGGAGAAGCTCTTCTTGATGAGCCAGCCTATAAGCGTGTGCAAAGTGGAACTGATCCACGGCATGTACACAGAGATCATGATTAAAATCTTACTTCATACAAATAAAAGGAAAAAATCCTTAATCATTTGAAGAGATGTGCCCTGTAGTTGCAAAGACATGGGACTGAGCCCTCAGGGACTGGGATCCCTTAAGCCCCTATTGAAAGTCAGAGATCCTCTCTAGAAGAATCAATATGATTCATGATCTCTAATTTCAAGGGGTCCATAGATTCCCTAAGCCTGTTCCTGACCCACTGAGCTCAGCTTATCATTCCTGCTCCAATGGATTCTGCCAGATTATTAATGGGCCCAGAGGTTTCCAGGTGTGAAGAGTGGGGTGAATTCAATTCTCATACTGCTATTTCTCTATCTTAAAGATGCCAAGGGGCATCCCAAACCATTCTGGAAATTCTCTCTTCCAGTGATATGTTTGTTGTAGAAGTTAATATGAAGTGGTACGAAAGCAGTTATGTATCTTTTAATGTTAATATCCATGTATCTAACATTTTAGATTGGTATTTGATTTGTACCCGTGGCGGAAACCAGCAATCGGAAACCCTTTGGAAGTAATGAAGTCTTGCTCATGTTTTCTGTCAACAGGAAAATGTGGAAGGCACAGAATGTAACATGTGTAGAGAAGGATCATTTCATTTGGACCCAGAGAATCCCAAAGGTTGCACCAGCTGCTTCTGTTTTGGGGTGAAAAGTCATTGTCACAGTACGCATAAACGCAGAACTAAGGTATGCCAGGAATCAGAGTCCTTTGGCTTTTTCTTCAGTGCTTCTAACTAAAAAAAGGAATTGACATGACACATTGTGGAACATTTTGCTGACTGTTTAGCTAAAATGGTCCTCATTACCCTGGCTTTTCCTTGCCCTGTAGCATTTTCTTCAAAGATGTCCTCATGATTGTTTCCAGTATGAGACTTCTGATCAAATGTCATATGCTCAGAGGCCTTCCCTTACCACTCCCTATTTTTTAAAAGTCCACTTTGTCACTCTCTGTGTTCTTGCTCCCATTTTCTTCGCAGCATTTAACATCTTTAATTTAGAGAAGTAGAATGTGGATCCTTGATAAAGCATAGTCCAAAGCGTAGGGACAGATGTGGGGACATACAAAAGACCTAGCTAATCTGGGTCTTGAATGAGTAGAGCTTGTTATGTTAGTCAGCTTTCCATTGCTGCTACAAAATACCTGAGATAATCAACTTAAAAAAAAGAAAAAGTTTATTTTGACTCTTGGTTTTGGAGGTTTCAGTGCATAGTTAGTTGGTTTCGTTACTTGGACTTGTGGTGGGGCAGGTGAGGCAGTTCACCATGGCAGGGTGCATGACAGAGCAAATCTGCTTTACCCAAGGCAACCTAGAATCAAAAGAAAGGGATAGAAAGGGTTAGGGGTCCCCAAATCTCCTCCCTTCAAGAGCATGCCCCTAATACTTCTTACTAGATCCCAACTTTTATAGATTCTAATACTTCTCAATGGTGCCATGTTAGGGAGCTGAGCCTTTCACCTGTAATCCTTTGGGTGATACTTAAGATTGAAATTACAGCAGTTGTTTTCTCCCTTAAAAGAAAACTTCGTTTCTAGGTGCCAGTTGCTCATGCCTGCGATTCTAGCTACTCATGAAGCTGAGATCTGAGAATCATAGTTCAAAGCCAGCCTAGGCAGGAAAGTCTGTGAGTCTCTTACTTTCAAGTAAACACCCCAAATCTGGACTTGAGTTGTGATTTGAGTACAGAATGCTAGCCTTGAGCATAAAAAAAAAAGCTCAAGGATAGTGCCCAGGGCCTGAATTCAAGCTCCAGTACTGGCATACAACAATAACAACAATAGCAAAAAGGATAGAAAATAAGAAAAAGAAAGCATTTTTTCCATATTCACAATACTTCTGACACTACATGTGTGGGACTCTTATCATACCAAGAAATTCTCTAATTTTCTCTCTAAGTACCAACTGTGTGTCTTACAATTCGGTATAGTTCTCATTCTATCCATCTTGAGATAGAGCCCACGTGTGAAGGGCTCACTCACAAAACTGTCCCCACTGCAAATGCTAATTGGAAATCCTAGGCCTCTTGTTTTCTGACCACCTTATCTCCAAATTCGCAATCCCTCCTTAGGTTTGACAATTTGCTCTAAAGTCTTACAACTCAGGGAAGCCCATCACACTACTAGTGATTTTATTATAAAGGTTATCATAATATACACAGATAAACAGGTGCAGGCGCAGAGTGAGATCCAAAAAAAGCCCAAAGCAAAGTAACTTGTGTCACTGGGGAATCAAGAGAATGCTCTTGTATGCTGTCAGCCCCCAAGAGCACCTCAAATCATCATTTGGAGTTTGAGTGGAGGTTCCGCTATCAAGGTATGATTGGTTAAATAATTAGATAATTAGCTATTGGTAATGAACAGACTCCCCAGCTCTTATCTCTTCCTCAGAGGTTGGGGATGGGGATGAAAGTCCCAACCCTTCAAACATACCTTGGTCTTTTGGGCTTCTAGCTACCACCCTCTCCATGCTGTCTAGAGGCCCAGTTGCCAGTCATCTCATGAGCATACGAAATGACAGGAGACTTCCTGGTCTGATGAGCTTTAATATCAAGACCAAATTAGAACAGAAGAAACCCCTTTCTGCTTCCTCATTTAGAAAGTTGCAAGAGTTTTAGGAGCTCAGTGTGGGGAGCCAGGAGCTGAGACCAAATAGATAACCTTCCACGCCCATACATTATACACCATTCCTTTCTCTCTTCTTGTTGTTTTACTTTCCTTCTCACCATTTTATCATGTATTCTCTTTGACTACTTTAAAAAGTAATTCCATAAAAGTAAAACTTTTTGTTGGCATCATTATCCCATGAACCAGAAGTCTCAGGTTCACTTTCCTTATGTAATGTCTTACATCCAAAGAGTGATTATGTCACATAAAAGGGAGTGTACATAAACTGGCACTCAGAAAAAAATAAAGCTAGATGCTGGTGGCTCACACCTATAATCCTAGTTATATGGAGACTGAGATCTGAGGATCATACTTCAAAGCCAGCCCAGGCAGGGAAGTTTATGAAGCTATTATTTCCAATTAACCATCAGAAAACTGGAAGTGGAGCTGTGGGGTCAAAGTGGTAGAGTACTAGCCTTGTGTAGAAAAGGGACAGCTCCCAGGCCTTGAGTTCAAGCCCCATGACTGACAAAAAATAAATAAACAGAAAAAAAAACTGTGTAAATCCACTCTAAAGTGGACTCCTGCTCTTCAGGGAAATAGAAACTTATTTCTAACCTACTTTCCTTATTGATTCTTTTGTCTTCCCTCTGAATGGAACTGACTTCCTTTGTGAACAGGGAGCATTTCTTTATTCTTTGATGTCTTGATTTTTTTTTTTAGAGAAAAATAATGGTCATAGACTTGGTTTCCACAACACAAATTCTCTACATGACATTTTTGCAGCTCAAAGCAACAAATTGTTATGTTTCATGGTTTCTATGCATGGGTATTCCCACAGCTCTATTTATCATTCATATACTCCTTTAAAAATTATTATTCTTATTTTATGCCAGAACTGGGGCTTAAAGTCTGGGCCTGGGCCCTGGGACAGAGCTCTTCTTACTCAAGGCTAGTGCTTTATCACTTGAGCCACAGCTCCACTTCTGGCATTTTGGGTTAATTAGAAATAGAGTCTCACAGGCTTTTCCTGCCTGGGCCAGCTTGGAACCACAATCCTCAGCTCTCAGGCTCCAGAGTAAGTAGGATAACAGACATAGGCCATTAGCAGCACTTGGCTATTTTATTTTGAATATTCATTGACACAGTTACTAAGTGTCAAGATCCAGGATGCATGCTGGGATACAAAGATAAATCTCATGCTCTCTGAGAACTCCTGGTCACTACAGATCAGATGGGGAAAGTGGTAGGGGAGGGGTCTGAAATGCATCCAGGGAGGGCAGGTTCAAGGGGAGACACATGGAGCTGAGGGTATGGCTCTGCACTTGGCAGGATCAAGGTGCCGTGTTCCATCTCCAGCAGCAGAGAGAAAAAGAGAATGAGACAGACAGACAGACAGAGACTGGCTTTGAAGTGAGGTGGCCACCCCAGGGCTTTCTCTATGATCCATAATGCAGCTGTCACCCACATTTCCATTTCTGTTGCAGTTCATGGACATGATGGGTTGGCACCTGGAGGTGGCAGATGGAGTCCATGTCCCTGTCTCCTTCAACCCAGGCAGCAACAGTGTGGTCGCAGATCTGCAGGAGCTGCCACCCACCTTCCACAGTGCATCCTGGGTGGCTCCTCCATCTTACCTGGGGGACAAGGTAAGAGCAGCCTGCTGTTCTGAGTCCTCTGTGGGGCCTCCTGCACCACTGCAGGAGCCTCATTTGCTGGAGGTCTGTAAGGATGTTCAGGTTACTAACATTCAAGGAATGGGCTTAGCCAGTGATGAAGAGATACCCAGTGAGGGATCAAGGAGGCATTCCGGGTCCCCACATGTGGGACCTCCCCCCCACAGAAGAGGACATGCACACAATATTTTTCTCCATTTTTACTTCCCATTAAGACACTTTCTTCTAAGAAATATGCAGCTGTTTACATAATATCTGTTGCAAACAGGTAGTCTTTTCAATGCTACTGCTGAGAATTCTTCGTTTTAAAGCAGAAGGGAAGTTTCTTGTCAGGAAAACAAAAGCTGAGATGTGGCTTCCGGGCTCGTTTGCAGCAGCACCAGAGTGGGTGGCATTTCTTTCAGCTTTCATAAATGGGGTCGCACCAGTTCCGTTGCACACCTCCCCCGGGAACTCGGAAATGACTCACTGTATAAATGGTCATGTTAGAGCCTGGCCAACTCTGCCCATCTTCTAGGGACAGAAACGCAGGCCCCATGCGAAAACACAGAATGGCATATGCTTCAAGTTTGGCAGGGATGGAAGTTTTGAGAAATGGTGGCTTTCACAGGACCCAGCTCAGGTGATACCTTAATGTTCCATTGAGAATGACAAAATATGAAGGCCTTGTTAGCCTGATGTCTGTAATCCAAAGAATTTTTTTTCTTTTGGTAGTATTGGGGTTTGAATCCAGGGCTTTATGCATGCTAGGCATGCACTCTATCTCTTAAGCCAGACTCCTGGGCCTTTTTTGCCTTGTTTATTATTTTCAGATGGGTTGTTTATTATTATTACTTGCTTTTTGCCTAGAGATGGCCCTGGACTTTGATCCTCCTACTAATGGTGTAGCTGGGGTTGAAGATGTGCATCACCATGCCTGATCCCTTGCTTTGACATGGGTGTGGGGAATGTTCCTCCCTCGCTTAATCCTCCCCTTCACCTGTCTAATAATTAGCCCACTATGCTAGTTATATGTTATTATGTAACAAGCAAATTATTTATTGCTTATGCGGCATGAGCCAATAATAATTATGTTGTGTGGCTTCTATAGATAAAGTATCCCAAGAGGTGATTTCTGTAGATCTCTTCTGAGGTTACAGTCAAAATGTCAGCCAGGTATGTCTTCTGAGGCACAGGATTCCCCCTGAGTTTATTCACAGGGCTGCTGGCTGGTTTGTTCCTGGATTGCTCCAGCTGAAGGCTTCAGCTCTCATTACAGGAGAGCTTACACAGGTTACCCCAGGGGTCATCACGTCATGGTAGCTGGCTTCCCCAAGGCAGCTTTGAGACAGATGACAGACAGATAATAATTAAAAGAACTCAAGACTGAAGCCACAATCTTTTTATAACCTAATTTGGGGAATGACATGTTCTCACTTCTGCTTTAGTCCATGCACTAAGAATGAATCACTTAGTCCAGCCTACACCAAGGAGAAGGGCAGTCAGCTGCACTTCCCAGAGAGAGGAGTATCAAAGAGTTAGTAGGTGTATATTTTGAAAACTTGGTTAGTCCAGCAGAAAGATAATACTTAACTCAATTAGAAGACTTGGGTATGACCTGGTCAGCGTACAGAGTGTAGGAGGGGGAGCTTCTATGGTCTACAGACCAGAGAAGCAGCTTCTCCTCTCTTCCAGGTGGTTTAGTGCATTTTGTTCTAAGTTGAGCTGAGGTGAGGCTGCCTCTGAGTCCCTTCTATTAGTCCTGCCATCTGTGGGTTTCCAACTTAAGGGTGGATGGGATCAGAAGCAGGGTGAAGTAGCTGTCAGAAAGCTATAACCATTCACAGCCAGGTCACCACTGCAGTGATCTTGCTGCTTACCTAGCACTGAAAGACAGTCTACACTCTTGACTGGTTAGTCATGACTTTTGTAGAATTCACAATAGTTTGGCTAGGTGTGGTTTCCATCTACGCAGAAAGTGGAGGATCACAGTTCAAGGCTAGTTGGTGCAACAAGTTCATGAGATCCTATCTTAAAAACAAGTCAGACAAAGGAGGAGGCAACAATGCTTGATGAGAAATGTACTACTCATTACCTTGCCCATGTAATTGTAACCCCTCTGTACAGTATTTTCCAAATAAAAAAAATGTAAATTAAAAAAAAACAAAAACAAGTCAGGTGTGGTAGTGTTTGCTCTATAATCTTAACCACATGGAAGGCAGAGATAGGAGGATTATGCTCTATAAAGCTGAACCAGGTAAAAATATAAACACATTCTTTGAAAGGTAACTAAAACTGAAAGGGCTGAGGGCATGGCTCAAGCGGGAAAGTACCAGACAAGCTCATATAAGGCCCTGAGTTTAAACTCAAGTACTGCCAAGAAAGAAAGAAAAGAATTCAGAATAACTTAGGAAATAGTAACTATCTACTTTCAGAAGACTTTTTTTTTGAAATTTTCTTTATAGAAACCTATTTTGTAACTAATATTACCCAATTCTCTTAGCTTAATAAGAAACCAGTGGCCCAACTTCCTTAGGATTACTGTGGATTAAAAAAATATTTTGATTTAGTAGTTACCTAGACAAACAATATAAGATCATCTTTGTGTCAGTATGATTATTATTTTCCTTTTTAATAAAATTATATTTATTTTTTATTTTTATTGTGAAAATACTGTACAGAGGGGTTACAATTACATGGGCAAGATAATGAGTACATTTCTTATCAAGCATTGTAGCCTCCTCCCCTTCTGGCTGTTTTTTTGGTAGTTTAGTGACAGTAAGAGTTCAACAGACTTTCCTGCGAAACCGTGATCCTCAAATCTCAGCCTCGTGAATAGCTAGGAT